CGTTCCACAGCTTGGGTGCACAGACAGAGAAAGCCCTCTCTCCACGGCTTTTTAAACGTGCATTGGGAACATCTAGGAGGAGCTTATCTTCAGACCTGAGAGCACGCGGCGGGTTGTAGTAATGGACCAGTTCACACAGATATGGAGGAGCTTGATGGTTCAAGGATTTGTAAGTGAGAAGCATAATTTTGAAGTTTATCCTGAACTGCACGGGCAACCAGTGGAGAGATTTCAGAATTGGTGAAATGTGTTGTCTTCTGTCAGCTCCAGTCAGCAACCTAGCTGCTGAATTCTGGACCAGCTGAAGTCTAGAAAGAGCTGCTTTACTGATGCCATATAAGCAGGAGTTAGAGTAATCCAGCCTTGAAGTGATGAAAGTGTGGACCACGGATTTCAGAAGACGGACACTCAGGATGTGCTTTAGTTTCGAGATGCGTCTTAGTTGGTAAAAACATGATTTAACTGTGTTATTGACCTGGGCATCCATCTTCAGAGCCTGGTCCATTTTTACTCCAAGGTTGGAGATTACAGAGGATACATTATAATAATGATAATAAATTCCAGAAATAAAGCTTCTTAAAGCTTCATTTATTTGCTCAAACAAGCAGAAACTGAAACTTATTATAAACCAAGTGCTGCTGCCTTTAACAGTAAATCAAACCCAGAATGAAGAATGATTTATGATTTTTGTCCATGTCATGCCACTTTTGTTCTAAAATATCAAATATGCTCAAGTCATCATCAAGTCAACAGTTGCAAGTCGATTCAAGTCGCCATTAATTGGCGTTCAAGTCCCAGTCAAGTCTTTATAGATTTGATCAAGTCAGAAGTCATTAAAATAATGACTTGAGTCTGACTCAAGTCCAAGTCATGTGTCTCGAGTCCACACCACTGAAGAATAATAGTTGGACTTGGATTAATTATATTGTTGCTATCTAAGATAGGAATTAGGCTACAAATATGTGCGCTTGTTGATTCATTGTTAAAATGGCGGCGCAATCCTCTGCGCCTCTCGAGAGGGGGCAGGGGCTTTTCTGGTTACAATCTCCTTGGGGTCCCTGCACTCTGGGGCAGCTCCTGGATCTCTGGGACTTGGAGCTCCCTCCATCTCCTACACATCTTTGGGGGGCAGATCTGTGGCCCCTCACACTCTCTGTTGGACGCTCCTATAGAGAAACCTTACATAAACAAGCGCGTGTACACACACAGGTGCTCACATGGTGCTCTCAAAAGTATGGACTTGGGCATTTTCAACATGTCTTAAGGCTGTGGTTGGCACTAAATGCACTGTGATTTATTATCGTGTGAATGTTCAGTTAAACAATGTTGATTATATATATTTCTTCAGGTTGATGCAGTGATAGCTTGCTCCTGTTGTATTGTTGTGTGTTGTTTTTCTCTTTATGCAGTTCTAGAAGCAGACTCTTTATTACGTCCCCAGCTCTCTAGGAGAGATGAGGAGGGGAGTAATAAAAGTAGTGTGTGGATTTAATAATAAACAGAGTGCTGTGTCACTTAAAAACAACAATTTTATTACAAAACGAATGGAGTATTTACAAAGAACCTAAAAAGCAATACTATATACAAAACAAAAGGAGCTATATTCAAAAAGGAGAAATGAAAAACGCCACCCCAGAAGGGGGTGGGAATTTAATAACCGAGAATATAAATCTATATTCAAAAGGGGAGATCCGAGGTCTAAGTCCAAAGCCGGTCCGAAAGTCTATAAGCCAAATGGTCAAATCCTAAATTATCCAAATCCGAAATCCTAGTGAGAGCAAACCGAAGACTAGCGAGTGAACCGAGGAGAAGAGAATAGTGTAAACTGTTACCAGTCTACACTACCCTTGGACCTTCTCCAAGACTGAGGGAGGAGAGCCTGATTACAAGCAATTACAGACACCTGGTACACCGGGAGACAGGCGAGGCAAAGGCCACCGAGGCCATCTTGTGGCCGAAAAGGGACACGGTACGTAACACTCTTGTTCATCATTGATTGTTTATTTTTGTGGGAACTCCCCTTTCCTTTTGTCTCTTCCTTTCTCTTTCACCTCTGTCTCCGTGTCTGGTTGGAATTAAAAAGCATCCAAAAAACATTAACAATAACGTTTTGAGTATCAGGCGTGACATTAAAAGCAGCAGCTTTGATGCTCCACCTGAGAGTAAATCTGTAAGGCTTGTCACCAAGCCTCCACAATGCGGCTCAAAAATTGAGGCCAACCCGGAAGTACCAAAAATTGCAGTTCCACCCTCATCCACTAGGGGCTGGTGTCAGAAGCGAGCAAATCCTCATTGACTCCCATGTTAAAAATACCAATTTCACAGCAGAAATAAACATGTTTACAGCCTGGTACCAAAACATGTTTTTGGTTTAAATGATCTAGTTTACACTCATGACAACTCTGAGGGGGGTGAATTTTTTTCTCACTCTTCTGTTTAAGTGTATTAAAAGCCTAAAATTCTGTGTAACCGCAGAGCTAGCTCCGTGGAAAGGCCTCAGTAGAGCCTCGGTCTGGCTTGGAAACTGCTCTGGGATTTTGAGTCTCTGTGTTTGTGTATTCTTTCTCATAATTTCTCATCCCATCCTCCTCAATAGACTCTCTTCCTTAGGCATCACTCACACCCCCCTCAGCTGGTTTCAATCTTACCTTACTGGCTGCACTCAGCTCATCCAGTTAAAATCCTTTACCTCAGAACCCTCCCCAGTCAAATCAGGTGTGCCCCAGGGCTCTGTCCTGGGGCCCCTCCTCTTCATAGTATATCTCCTCCCTATCGGCAAAATCTTCCGCAAATTCAATATCCAGTTTCACTGCTTTGCAGATGACACCCAGCTCTACATTTCCAGTAAGCCCAACTCAACTCTCCCACCATCCTCCCTTACACTCTGCCTCTCTGAAATCAAATCATGGTTCACCTCTAATTTCCTCAAACTCAACGGCAATAAAACTGAACTTCTTCTTGTTGGCACTAACTCCACCCTCTCAACATCTGACAGCTTTTCTTTAACTATTGACAGCGCCACAGTCTCCCCCTCACCTCATGTCAAGAGTCTGGGTGTCATTCTCGACAGCTCACTTTCTTTTCAAGCTCACATTAATAACTTAATTCGGTCAGCATACTTCCATCTACGTTCCATAAACCGTCTCTGTCCCTCACTGACCCCTCACACTGCCGCCATTCTCGTCCACAGCCTCGTCACCTCCCATATCGACTATTGCAATTCACTTCTTTATGGTTTTCCCAACAAACTCCTTCATAAACTGCAACTGGTCCAGAATTCGGCAGCCCGTATTATCACCAGAACCCCTTCCTTTCACCACATCACGCCGGTTCTCCAGCAGCTTCACTGGCTCCCAGTTAAATTCAGGTCCATCTTCAAAATTCTCCTCCATACCTTCAAAGCAATCGACAACCTCTCTCCTCCATATATCTCAGACCTTATAAGTATTCACACCCCATCCCGTTCACTCAGATCTTCTTCTTCCATCCATCTTGCGGTTCCTTCTGCCCGTCTCACTACCATGGGGAGCAGAGCTTTCAGCCGCTCTGCTCCTCGACTCTGGAACTCACTTCCCCCAGACATCAGGAACGTCGACAGTTTTACCCTTTTCAAAACAAAACTCAAAACACACATGTTTAAATCTGCCTACAACCTCTGATTTTATTGAAATGTTTCTCTCTGTTTTTTCTTCTTTGGGTTTTATTATTGTTTTATTGTATTTTATTACGTGTTTTGTGTAAAGTGACCTTGGGTGTCCTGAAAGGCGCTTTGAAATAAAATGTATTATTATTATATATTATTCTTGTTTGGATATTATTTGTGCAACTGTTGGACAAAATGACTTGCTGTGGCATTAATTGCACTAATAGAGCGTCCAAGGAGTCTCCACTTCATTTTTTTCGGTAAGTAAAATTATATTTATGAATTTTAGGTCACTGCCGAGCTGAGCTTAGATTTTAACATGTACTGTTTAACCATGAAATTTAAATGTAATAGGGTAAAACCCAGTGCATTTAACATAATGCTGCACTTTAGAAAATGGGATGAAATAACATGTTGGTGGAGCTGGGTTCTGACTATCGGCTTGTGGAGCTCTTGGGAGACCTCTGTTTTCCACCCGGTTTTACCCAGCGGTCAGCCCGGCGTATCTCTGACTCAGAAGTTCTGGTGTTGTGCACAGTTAACTCCGGTTGTAGCTAGGTTGCTACCTCCATTAGCTTAGCTCCCACCTCCGCGTTAGTTTTGGGTTAGCTTCAGGTTAGCTTGTAGCTAGTTCGACTGGGTGTCATCAGTTGATCCCAGCCTTACAGCCCCACCCTCAGCTCCTCCTCTTCCCTTTTATGGAATTGTCTGGGCTTGATGGAACCTGTGACACGGTCAAAATGGCGGTGGTGGCCACCTCCCATTTGGCCTCAAAAACGTGTTATTGGAGCCTATGGAAATGAATTGTCCAGTATTTATATGTCGATGCTTGTCACCAGCATTCAGACATCAATTCTGTTTGCTTCACAGCCAGATGGGACACGGGGGAAAATATGTTAAAATGGCCCACCAGTGAAATGCAATTTCTTCAGCATTTCCAAGTCCACCAGCTCGGTGGCCTGGCAAGCCAGACTAAATAAATGCATTATTTAAACTTTGCAAAGCAAGAATTTGGTCTAGTTCACTGGGCTACCAACTCGGAGGAGGTTTGTACAACTCCGGTCAGGTGACGTCCTGTCCTGCAGCGAGAGGAACGGAGGAGCAGCACGTTTTATTGAGAAATGACCGAATGTTTGCACAGAAAGGATATTCACCTGTGCTTTGACCATAAAAAATTAATATCAGACACAAGGGGGGTTAAAAGCCAGCGAAACTGTCATGTGTGATCATTTTTTTAAAGTCACGTTGGAATTAATAGATAAATAAATGTCTCATGTGTCGTACTGCTCCTGAACGCACCGCCGCTCCGGACCGGGGGGGGGGGCGGGGGGGGGGGGGGGGCGTGGGTTGACCGGCTTCGTTCGCTCGGAGCTCAGACACAATGAACCGTCAGACGGAGCGGGGCACGCGCGCTGGGCCTGTGGCATTAGCACGCTTTTAGCTTCTTATTGTTCGCAGAACTTGTTTTTAACCCACCGCTTTATGTTTATGGCGGCGCCGCCACGCATCTGGAAGCGGGCTGTTCTCGGAGTTTGACGAGAACGAGGTCGGGACAGACCAACGTCACCGCCAGACCCTCCTTGCGATATTTTAGTGACTTTTGTTTTAACTGAAGACAAAACCGAGCAGATAATGTCGCTTCCGTCTGACTATTTTGCTGCTGAGTGTCTGGTGTCCATATCCAGCGGTCCCGTCCTGCACAGACCCACCCCTGTGGCACCCAACAGTGAGCCGGCCGCGGTGGGCCCTCTTCCCGGGGACCCCGACGCCTCGAGCGAGGACAGGGAAGTGCAGGAGACACTGAGGCTGGAAGGGACGAACATGACGACGGTGGCCGGTATCCTCACTGACCTGCACAGCAAGTTCCGCCCCATGTCGGCCTACTCTGAGAGCAGCAACTCCTCGTGTGGAGGGGAGAGCGGGTACACCACGTTGTCCGACCCCACCACCCCGACCATGACCCCCTCCGCCACTCCCGTCCCCGGGCAGCAGCAGCAACACCAGCTCAGGGGGGCATGGGGGGTCGGGTCGCCGATGAAGCGACATCAGTGCACTTTTGACGGATGCGACAGAGTTTACGGGAAGTCATCGCACCTGAAGGCGCACATCCGGACCCACACAGGTACACACGCTCTACGCTAGCGAGCTCCGTGTAGCTAGCTGTTAGCATCTTTCTGTGTTGCTGCTTCGTGTGACTGTCTGATGAAAGCCGAGTCTTGCTAGCTGGCTCGTTTGTGACGGTTAGCAGAAGCTTTAAACACAAAGAGCGTTAAAGCTAGTGCCTCGTTGACTCGGACAAAGAAGCAAAGTAACAAAAGAACAGGGCTGGAGCTGAGACCGATAACGTAACTCCACCTCCCGCTGGATTTTCATATGAAATGAACTTAAACCTTAAAGAGCAAGTCACCCCCAAATCAACATTTTTAGCTGATAAACTATGTAACTAATGTGTTTAATCGCGGTGTAGTCAAATCATTTGGCCCCTTAGGGGGTCTTAGTTAAAATATACAACCCCTGTGTGTGATATTTTTACCTCTTTACTATAAATCCTGTGTTTCCAGTTCACAAACTTGTCCTTTTTCACTAATATTTCTCACCAACATCATTCTAAATATTCCTCTCAACTTGAAATTCTACATTTTTACATACATAAACTGGTCGACGTTCCATGGTCATCCACCTTCTTAAAATACAGTAGCTGTTTAGGGACATACCAGCTCCACGTTACCTGTTTGGACTATGATTGTAACCTGAATTAACCAGCAGAGGGCAGCAGTGCGCCCTGGAAGCATGGAGTCTTCTAATTCAAATAAGAAATAGATAAGAATAGCAACACGTTGCTGTACTTGTTCGTTTGTTTAATAAACAATTAAATCATAAGACGCATAAAATGTGCCAGTTCGTCATCATGTCCGACACAAGGAAGCCGCATATGTTAAGATCCCCGCCCGATATTAGCTGGACGCCAGCCTCCGATTAGTGTCTCTGACTCCCAAACTCACCTCAAGTTGTTCGTTCATCTTTTCCTAGTACCAGAACTCCCGATCCAGTCCCAACGTGTCCGTTCCAAAGTCCTTCTACTCAAGTCTCCTCTCTTCCTGCAGCCTGCCGTCTCTCCCAACACGCTCCAGCGCTCGTCCGCTAGCCAGTGGCTAAATCAGCGTTGTTTACTTGATCTCCCTTAGCACTCTACTAACAACGATGTAGTTCTCCACGCGTCACAGAGACGCTCCGACACAGAGGGGTTCTTCTCTAATGTTACATTTAGACTTGGGTCTCCTTTTGCTGGTAATCTGTGGGAGTTTACTCAACATTGTTTACTTGATCTCCAGCTCACCAACTCTCCTTCGCCAGCCGTGGCTAACGATCAGCCAGTGATCGCTCCATATCCATATAAGCTGGTAGCAGCAGCCATCTTGTTTACATCGAGGCACCGTGATCCACGCGAAACGGGTGTTGTGGGAAATGAAGCTCCACTGTAATATTCTGTTTCCCTTAGGCAGTCGAGAGCAAACATTTCCTAATTCACACAACTTATTGTCCATTATGAGGACTAAACTACCTCAATTAAAAGATGGTTAAACATCTTTTTACATAACTTTCTTAAATGATAAATAAGCTTGCTGCAAAAGAGGGAACAAGAATGTTTTAACTGTATATTTTTTATTGTTTTTAGGAGGAAATACAGATATAAAATCACAAGCGTAACATTATTACATTACATCGTTTTCCCGTAAAAGTTTATCACAAATGGTGTGAAAATAGCCAGAAGTGCGATCTCCTGACACGGTGGGGGGGGGGGGCAGAATATTTCAGGGGAACACAATTCCTCACAACACCTGACCTCCCGGCTGACGACACCCCTCCTCCGTGTGAATCGTGACGGCTTCAAGAACAGAACTAGCTTGCTTCCTTCAGAGCTGGTAGGTAGGTTGATACAGTCATTATTATAAATACTTTTTTAAAGAGGTCGAGTAGCTTGTGTTGAGCTTTGTGTGGGTTAGGCTACGCAGGTTGGAACCTGATTACACAGTCAAACCCACGAGTGGGCCACCGTAGCTGCAATACTTTCTCTGAACTGCATGGCGCTAAAGAGTCACCTTTTTTCATCATGATTACAGTGGATTTCACACACGGGGCCTTTAAAGTCAGTCCCAAACTTCTTTATTACTATATTATTTCCTTGAATATGGTGGAGGCCCAGGCCAGAGGAACCCTCTGTTTCCTCCTCAGAAGTCTGTCCGTTTCTCCCTCTGTGAACAGGGTGGGGCTAGCTGTGGGGCATTTCCGTTTGAGCTACAAAACACCTCAGTGGGGGTTACTGTAGCATGTGACAGCCATGGCGGTCTGCATAACGTGTGGCTCCAGCAGGACACGCTGCGTCATGAGCGCACCTCCCAAAAACGTACATCACTCAGCAGACCGCTACCTAAAACAAAGCGCCGCTGTTACAACTTCTGACTTGACCCAGCTCATCTTCCTCAAAGAGGAAGACTCGTTTTCAAAACCGCTTTGGCCTCCGTCTCCGGCTGCGAGTCTCTTTTTCCGGCTTGCAGCTAAACAGCTGATCTGTCTGCTGGACATTCGTCCTCCTTTATACGTAAACTCACTAAACTACAGAGAAGTAACTAACGGTCACTAGGGATGGGTACCGAATTCGGTACTTTTTAAGGTACCGACCGAATTCCATAGTACCGACCGAGCTCCGATTCACGTCATTTCAAACGGTGCCTCGTTTCGGCACCCATCCATCATAACGAGAACTTGCCTAGACAGCTGCGCATGCGCAAGAGCGTTATGTCGTCGGTCGCTGCGAGCGAGTTGTAAACAGAGCAGCATGGTAGAAAGAACGCACGCTAAAGCTTGGGTCCACTTCACTAAATGTGATGGGTAACTGGGTGATGATGAAACCAGCGACAACGATCTAAGTGAGACATCCTCATCTTAATCTGCTCCAGTAGGTAAATACAATTAGCCTGATATGTTAGCTTCCGTTTCGCTAATGGTGCGTTTGCTTTCTCCTCGGAACTCCGAATTTCCGAATAGAACAACATGAACGCGCTCTAAAGTTTGGCTTCACTTTACTAAATGCGACGGGTGATTGGGTGAAGATGAAACCAGCGACAACGATCTAAGTGTGAGGCATCATCGTTTTAATCTGCTCCAGCAGCTAAATAAACTGTTTAAGATATCGTTAGCTTGATATGTTAGCTTCCATTGCTACCATTGTTATCAGCTAATGGTGCGTTCGCTTTCTCCTCGGAAATTCTAACTTCCCAGTAGGACAAATCAAAAGAACAAAGACGGCAAAAGGAATGAAGATACACAGTAAATTTAGTTCACAGTAAAGATGTTTGCTTCAGTTTAATTATCAGCTTATAAAACTACAAGGACGATGTTAAAATACAAACAGTTGAATGTTATTTATCGTGATATTTATCAAATATGGTTATATATTGAGAAAAATATATATTTAATTATAAAAAAGAATTAAAATATTAAACACTCAAAAGTATCGAAAATTGGTACCGTTAAGTACCGGTATCGATTCGTAGGTACCGGTAATTAGTACCGGATCGATTAAATGTCAAAGGTACCCACCCCTAACGATCACAGATCGCCCCAATATCTAAACTTTTGCTGTGAATTGTGTCTCACTCTTTACTCCGCAGCTCAGTGACATCACAGAGCTTCTTCTGGCCCTCTGCAACAAAACGCCACCCAACCATCCTTAGCGGTTGAGATTTCCACCAAAGAGATGTTTAAACAATATTAATCTAATCAATCATTACGATAATCTTTTACGGCGATTTTTAAAAATCATCCAAACGATCACTCTCTGATTTTGAAATGTCGACTGAGACCTGATGTGAAGTAACAATCCAGGAGCGAATAAGACGAAGGGGGCGTTCCCGTTCACACACCAACGGCCCTGTTTGCTGCTGGTGGGCTGATACTGCCTTCTGTCAGCGCAGACCTACCCGAGTCGCTCTTTCTATTTTAGGTGTCACCTTCCGAGTGTGCTGGTATGAAGGTAAAGCTGGCAGCCACGCCCACCTGTAAGCCACTGATCGATCTCTCTTCTCTGCAGGTGAGCGGCCCTTCCCGTGCACCTGGCCCAACTGTGAGAAGAAGTTTGCCCGCTCCGACGAGCTGGCTCGTCACACCCGCACCCACACAGGGGAGAAGCGCTTCCAGTGCCCGCTGTGCGACAAGCGCTTTATGCGCAGCGACCACCTGATCAAACACGCTCGGCGTCACCCGGACTTCCTGTCCTCCATGTTGGTTCGCAACAGGGGCGTGTCTTCGGCCGCTAACCAAGCCATGAGCAAGTAGTACCAATGCTGATGTCCGTCTGAAGACGACCGGTGACAGTCTGACCCATCATGTTGATCTCAAACGCACCGGTAGTACCGCCTCTCACAGATGAGTCATGTGACCCCTGACCACCAGGGTTGTCTCCAACACATTCCCTACCTACACAGCCTGGCTTATAGAAATGTTTCCTAGTCACAGCTAGGGTTGCAGGGATGAACCGGTTTGACCGTTAGCCCCCCGTAAAGACGCCTCCAACACCTCCTCTAAAGTATTCCCAAACAGGAGTCTCCAACCGCTTCCTAGGTGGAAGTGGAGCAGTCCCAGTGGTTGTTGCTGCTGCTCCTGCTGCGTGCGCGCGTTCAGTTTCACTTTTGCTTTTGTCCGTGCGGGTCGTGCTATTGGCTCTTTGTTTTTTATCGGCGGTGTTGGAGGCGTCTACGGGGGGTTAACCGGGTTAATAGTCTAACCGGTTATTCCCTGCAATCCTAGTCCAAGCTCCCAGACCGGAACCTGCTCCGGAGCATGGCCGCAGGCTGATGTGGTGGAACTGGATTCATGAAAGGACAGAAAGTAAACGGATGATTGACAGAATGGATTCAAGAAGTCTGAGAGAAGCATTTTCAAAGATGTTTGTGGTGAATTGTAGAAGTCCCTGCCATGAGATGGTTGTTAAACCATTAATGACCCGAACAAACACACAGGTCACACCTGTCGCTGATTCCTGTTTAAACCAAACCTCCAGTCACTAAATAACTCAGGTTATCTCGGACCAGAACCCAAACGCTGGTCTGAGGTGGAAGCGCTTCTACACGTGTCAGGGATTCGTCATCAGCCAAAACTCCACAGGCTCCATGTGGTTCAAGTCAAATGTGAGTGAGCAAGAGCTCCACCTGCTGGTGTCGTTGCTGTTCTAGTCTACAGGAAACGCTCCTGCGTCGGTTCCTTCTGGACCATTCCTGACCGGATTCCTCTTCAGGTCCTGTACGCGTCGGGCCAGGAAGTGGGACAGAGTCGTAACCGTAGCAGAACAGTTTACACTACATTCATCCATCAAACACACACACACACACACACACACACACACATGCAGCAGCATTATGTTTAATATGGATGCATGTGTAAATGAGCTTTAAGCTTGAGCAGCAGAAATGATCCATGTGATGAAGTATGTTAGAGGGTGTGTGTGTGTGTGTGTGTGTGTGTGTGTGTGTGTGTGTGTGTGTGTGTGTGTGTGTGTGTGTGTGTGTGTGTGTGATGTTTCTTAAAGGGGATTTGATGCCAGATTTTGTTTTATTTGTGACCTTCAAAGTAAAAGCCTCCTGGGACCAGAGCTTTGAAGGCCAGGTGTGTCCATAACGACAGGTAAATGAATCCTCACAGTAGCACCGGAGCAATCCCAACCAGACTTCCAACTGAAATTCCTGCGGGAGTATTTCTGTTACGTTTGAGGAATTGTTCCATGGCAACGATCAGGAGTTTCAGACTCAAGCCGGAAAACCAGTGAGAATTCCTTGGAATGTGCTTGGCTCTGATTTGTTTTTAGTGATTCCCACATTCGTTCCTTTATCCCGGACAACTGAAAGCCTTAAACATTGTGAGCGTGTTTACAGTCGGATGGACCGCTGCGTCGGTAGAGCCTCCCTCGTGGAACCCCTGCAACATGGCACTTTTAGTGTGAAAGGTGTTTCCTGTCACGAGGGGCTTGCACTGTCACTGTTTTTACAAGCAACACTGTGGAACTTTGTTCACGTCTAGAACTGAGAGTTTAATAACAAACCAAGTCTTCTCCATCGGCTTTAAAAAGCGTGATAGAAACATGGAGGAGTTGCTTTTATTTGGTTAGTTTTGCGTGGATCTCCATCTTTAGTTGTGGATTATTATTATTATTATTATTATTATTATTAGATGGGACGTTTTATCGTCAGTTGCCTTTCTGATACAAGTCGGCTGTTCTGTTCTTCACCTGCAACTGTTGTCTCCGCTCTGGCGTCGCGGTGCTTTGGTTGCTGCTGGCAGTAACCTCCAACACAGCGGCGGCCCACCTGAGGAACAAATGCTGTTTGCCGCAGACTCCCCAGAACTTACCTCGCCACGTCCTGGTTTTCAGTCTGCTCAGATTCCACCCGCCCTTCTTCACCCCCCCACACACTCCCTATGCAATACACGGGTCTGACCCGCCAGCTGGGCTCTGTGGTGTCCCAGCTTTCTGCCTAAATGATGGTTTCTGTTAACCACACTAGTTCAGATCTATGCCCGTTGAACAAGAGTGTGGATTCTTTTGTATAATGTCATTTTAGGATCTATTATTAAAGCTTTAGTTGATTTGAGGAACTAAATAATTGCTGTGTAACATTTATATTCTCAGGTGCCATTGGAGTTTGAGTCAGCATCCAAACATAAACATGTTCTTATTTCTTGTCTTTTTGCTGATTCAGTTATTACATATCAATGACCAATCATTCCTGTGGCGTTCTTCTTCTCTTCATATGTGGAGCAGTACTGATATCCCATGTTTTCAGGGTTTGCTTACACTGCTTTCTTCCTTTGTGAAATAAAAGTATTGTTTCTGTGCTTTTGTTATTCTATCAGTAGGAATAAAACACGACCTTCCGTCACACATTTTATCCTCTTTCTGTGTTTCTTTTCAGTTTCCATTGATGTTTTCTTGTTTAATAGACAGTGTAGCAGTTTATCTTCATCTCATGACAGTTTCCGTCGCCATTGTGAGCCTCGCTGATGTTGACAGCATTACATTTTCCTTCTAATAAAGACCGATAGGGTGGTCAAAGTAGCATGCCATAAAGTCAAAGTGACCTACCCAAGAAGGTTCTGGTTGTACCCACAAAAACGGCTCTATCTGGTCTGAGTGATCTTGTGTGCCCCCTAGTGCAACATTCCAGTACTACATCCAGGGCACATCTGGCCCTACCCACGTGTTCACATTGTTCTGCGTGGGACTCAAACAGGACCTAGGCCTCAAAGTCAAATGAGTTCACTGCAAGTGAAACGAGCTTATCGGGCTGTTGTTTCTGGATTTCACAGCTACGTCTGAATCTGCCGTTCTTTAGACTTCTGCTCTTTGTTTAGATCAGGGGTCTCCAACCTTTTTTGGCCCGTGAGCTACTTTTACACAATGAAAGTACCGAAGAGCCATACGATTTATTCACACTGGCACTTTACGTGTAAATATGTTTGTTAAAAATGCCATGCTTGCTAAATAAGAATGCTTTGTTTTCACAAGTTTATTTCTACATTTCAACACATTAATATATAAAAGAAGATATTCTGAAAATCTAAACATTTTGTTTATTAACTAGTCAGTTTCAAATAATGAATAACAAATCTAATTTGTTTGAATGATTTGACATTCTTTTAGAATGGATCAGTAACATCACTTTTTGAGCACACAGGAGCAGCTAACCGGCCCTGTGGTTAATAATCTGTAGCAGACTCACGGTCTACTAAACTAAAAGTCAAATTTGTTACAAGCTAAATAAGTTTGTTGTTTTATTTTTTAAGTATTTTCACGGTTTTCCTCAAATAAAACGGTGCACTATAATATTACACAGCGGTAATTTTCCTATGCTCTTCCGGTTTGCGGAACCAAATATAAGCGTTCCTTTTCCCACCCGGACAAACTATTGTAACGCACCACCAACGCTCTGGTGCTGAGCCGCTCAGCTTCAGCCCTCCTGCGTTTAAATACGATGTTCGGTTCTAACGTTCAGTTACAAACATGGCGGAAGTGATGGACGGAACGAAGAAGCGAGGCGAGACCGAACCTCCGAACTGGATCCTGCAGCACCCGGTGGTGAGTGGAGGAGCCGGTGGCGGAAGCATGACGTCACCAGTGCGCCCTCTGGCACCGCTAGCGAACCTTAGAGAAGAGGCACATCTGATATGTTATCCTTCAGTACTAACGGGTCGTTTTACTCAAATTTCATTAGTAACGTTAAAAAACGTGTCAGAAAAAGTATTGGTACATGTAAATGTATAAAGAAGGAAGTAAAATAAGATCAAAACTGTAACATCCAATTTTTAGCATTTTTTATTCTACTGATGTGACATTATTAGCCTCAGAGTGACCTGGCTGTGGGCAGCTCTTCACCCTGAGGCCATAAATGTGATGAGTTTCCACATGAAGCCCATCTGCGGACACCATCTCCTGACCCCCGTACACCAAGGAGGAAATATATTGGGCCTGGCTCAAGGACCCTGAAAGGTCCGTCGTAAACCGGTTGCAGAGCTGATCTGTGGGCATCGTGGCAAATGAAAAAACATAAATAAATACCCGAACTCGACAAATCCCACGGACAAACGAGGGCAACCCACGGTGAACCCGCACCGGATGTCCGTCGGCTGGCCAGCCCACCTGTGGGGGCCAAGCGCAGAACCGAGGAACAAGCCCGCCTGGCGCGCGCTGGTTGGCCAAAAAGCTAGTTCAGTCAGGGATGCACCGATGTCTTCCCTAACCCCAGAACATTTTACAGAGAGCAGAAAACACCTGGACAGGTGGCTCGTTTGTCACACTCTTGCTTCAATCAGTCTGAACTCATCCACACCAGGTAAACTCACCTGACCCTTCTCCGAGGCTGTTCACCACACCTAAAACCCTCTTACTCATGGTAGAGGCTTGGTTATGTGTAGATGTTTACAGGAAAGGGGGAAGTGGAAAAGCATAGCATAGTGGAGGTCTATGGACCACGGGCCTGAGGGTGGAAGCATCCACCAATATCCTGGCTAAGTTTCAGACTGTCGGTCTTTGAAATTTAGACTCAAAAGGAGAAGGAAGTTCACATTTGGTCCCGAGTGTGGTAACGAGGTAGTGAAAGGGTGACGTATGAGGTACCTTACTGATGTAAAACAGTCCAGTCTGTCTGTCGGGTGTTTGGATCTCTGAGTCTTTGTTGTGCTAGTACCAGCAGATGAAGGAACTGGAGGTTGGAGACAGCACACAGCTGCACGCAGCTTTTCTGGTGTTCATGGACCTCACTGAGGGTGAGTTAGGCCCGACTCGGCTCGGGTTTGTTCTCCTCTAACATGCAGGTAGAACCGGCCCACACGGGCCAAGGAGAACCTCCTGCGGACGTGATACAGAAATTAAAAGGACCTCCTCTTGACTCGGTCGTCTCTCTCGCTCTGATTCTTGCCCTCTGCAGTGCGCCAGTGGACGAAGGTGACCTATGCCGAGAGTCCAGAGCTGCAGCTGGTTCTGCTGGAAGCCAAGGAGAAGGATGGAGGTCCAGTTCAGACGGTTCTGCCTCTGCCTGTTCACCGTTCCCTGAGCCACAGGAGGTGAGAAAAACTTAGACTTCAGCCGACATCCCTGCTTACATTCAGTCACAGAGCCTTTGTCCCTGCTGTGCAGCATACGCCACCTTCTGGACCGCGGGTTCCCTTTGCTGCTGTGTGCCGTGGCGTCCGACTCCACCCTGGTTTATCAGAGGATGACCGACGGGTTGGTGACTCCAGAACCCCCCGTGGGACTTTTCCATGATGCGGGTCGTCGGCAGAAGCAGCGGAGAAGAAAGCAGTGATGGATGTGTAGGCGGAGAGTGCGGAGGAGGGTGCATTTAAACCAGCACCCTGACAGGCTGGAGGTCCGGCCTGTGGCCCAAGTTCAGAATATGAAGAATGAGCCACAGGAGTGAGCGTGACCTCAACGTGGGCCTTCACCAGGTTCTGGTGCCGGTGTGCGGGTTGAACGTCCCACATCAGGATGCTGGTGATGGTCTGGCGAAACCAAAGGTTTACTAACTTTGCTGTTATTTTTATGTCTTTGATATCCGATCCGAACACAAAGTAAACATCACTTGTGATCCAGCTGTGATGATTCTTTAAGTGAGCAGCAGATGCAGACGGGGCCTGACGGCTGACATCTGCAGCCGGGTTTAAACCTTTTCCCAAATCAAACTATGATGTCTCCAAGCTTGTTTTATTAAAACTGACTTTTGTGTTGTTGGAAGCCTTGCTCGAGGACACGACTGCAACGGGGGATTGATCCTGCAACCCTCCGGTTACTGGGGGGGGTGATCAGATAGCAGGAATTAGCAGCGCTGAATTCAAGAACCAGGGAAGTAGCGGCCGACCCAAATATCAGCCGGCCAATTTGGCCGTCGGTCAAAATTATTTTTGAAAGCCGATTAAAATAAATAAATAAATCAGGCACCGGTGGGGCCAACTGCTGCCACTACTGGAGTGAAAAAAGGACGCCAACACACCGTTTTTTATGTTTTAAGTTAGTTTTACATTTGAAGTTAAAAAATCTTAAGAGGTTCGACTTATTTAATTAATATAGCACACAGTGAGTGTTCATTTCACAATGGGTGAGCTGCTAAAATGGATTTATATATCGGGCTAATAATCGGCTTTAGGTGTCGGCCATCTGCAACAAAATCCTATAAAAATTGGTACCGGCCATAAAAACCACAGCGGTGGGCTACAGGACCGTGTTGGGTTTCGGTCCATTCAGCGATCAGCTCACCAGTTGAGCCGCCTCATCCACCGTCTCAGCCTCAACCCCGGCCTCTGTCTGTTGTGTCCTTGAGCAAGACATGCACCCTGCTGGTGTTATGAACCAGTGACCTCTGTGTTACAGCCCAGGGCCGTCATTTATCAACCGTATTCACGAACAGTATTTCGTGCGCAGGACCAACTTTACGCATTGCGCGGTGTTTACCAGTTAGTGCTTGTGCGTGAAATGTTGCTAAATAAAAGAACAGTTCTGGCCGTGCGTGTGAACAGCATCCAGTGGTAGAACGGGGAACCGCAGTAGTGGAGGTCTCAGGCCTAGTCCACACGTAGCCGGGGTTTTTAAAAACGAATATCCGCCCCTCCAGAAACTTGCATCCACACCACCGCGTTTAAAAAAAACTCTGCCCACACGTACCCGGATAAATACGTTGTTAAGGACATGCCAGACCTGTAGGCGGCAGTACTTCCCCCGTTCTTAACCTCGTCCTTCGTCTGTGGTCTTCCGCAAGCAGCAGTAATTCCGCTTGCAAAAACAAACAAGCAGAAAGCGCTTGGACAATTGATAAAGCGAGCGCAGCTCTGAGGGCTTCCATGCTGTCGGCTAGTGTAAACACAGGTCGCACACGTGATGTCAGCATTTTTTTGTCGCGGAAAGTGACGTTGCGGACCTTAAAACTCCGGTTTTGTCCGTCCACACGCAGACACCCAAAACGGAGAAAACGTAGATCTTCACTTTGGCCGGAGTTTTTAAAAAGATCCGTTTTCATGTGAAAAAACTCAGTTTTCGTGTGGATGACAGACCAAAACGTAGAAAAATATCTACGTTTTGGCAGATCCCCGGCTACGTGTGGACAGGGCCTCAGTCGTCCACACACATCATGGCTGTTCTCTGTTATTGGAGGGTTTAACAGAGTGTAATGAATGAAATTACAGGTTATTTCATGAGCCATAAGACAAAACCTTATGGATCTGTGAGGTTATTTAAACCAGAAGATTGGAACTTTTTATTGCAGGGATTAGATAACAGCTGCACATTCACTCAGAGACAACAGAAGAGGGAGTCAAGTTTTAAAAGTTTAAAGATTTATTACTAAACAAATTAAAACTAGACTAACTTTAACACTAAATGTATGGTGTAACTAAGGTGGATGAGACGCAGAATGGTGTAGTGTGGAATGTTGCTCAGAACCAGCAAATCCGATGAAACGAGTAGTTCTGATGGGAAATGAAGGTGATGTCTTCACGCTAAGCTGTAGTTTGGAGATTCATAAACACATTCAACGCCATTCCGTCGGCCTACGTACCCTTTTGGAAGTCCTCGTTGGATCAGGAACGTCGAGGTCCAGCTGGACCCTCTCTGGAACCGAAGCCGGTAGGAAAAGCAGCGGTTGCCGACCAGACCAGTCTGTGAGATACTTCCGGGTCACGGCGGTTTTGTTGGCATCTAGTGAGACCCAAACCTGGGTCGTGATGGTTCAGCTTTTATTCTGAAAGGAACCGTTGCAGCAGGTGGAACAGCAACAGATTTTATCCAGCTTGTCGTTGGTTCTTTAGCTGAAGAGGAAAGTTACGGATTGGCCACTCCGACAACTTCTCTAGAACGCTTTGAACTGGCGTTAAAGATGACGTGGGCATAGTTTTATACTTCGGATGTTTTGGTTTACGGTCGAATGAAAAGTTGACAGGTTTACCAAGCATCACCAAAACCACGCCTCCGTCAGATCTGGCAGATTCTGATTGGATCAGTGAAAGCAATGTGTCATGTCTTAACGCTACGTGAGATCAGTCCTAGTGGAAACATTTAAAGTCATATTACTTATTATATCTGTAGGATTATAATAAAGTAATTAATATTTTGATTTCACAGATCGGTCACATCTTTGTTTGATTAGCTTTATTAAAATAGAGTGATTTATTAAAAGGCAGTGGCGTGTCCAGATCTATTAAAACGGGGTGGCCCAGGTGAGGCACAACCAGGGTCCGAAATTAAATATTTTACTCACCGGCCAAGTTGGCTGGTAGATGATGAAAATCTACCGGCCAAGCATATTTTTTACCGGCCAAAATCCTAAATGATTTAGATGTACCTAAAGCATGTAATTCTATATTATGTTGATTCTAAACAGAGTGACAAAATAATTAAAACTTCAATTAATAAGAAAAACAACTCTTTTGTCATTTTTACAATTTATTTATTTATTTTTAGAGATGTTTTTATGAACTCTTTCATTGAAATCTAGTCAGACTCCTTGTTTTCTCTGTCCATGAAGTCTGGCCTCCTGCTTCTGACACCGTCTTTGTGCCAAAGCATTACAGCCTCATTTGGGTCCTAGTCCTTGATCTCTGGAGAACACAGCTGCACCATGAGAATATCTGAAAGTGTGTCAGGGCTAGGGTTGTCACGGTAACCGGTGTAGCGGTAAACCCCGGTAAAAAAGTTGACAATAATAATAACCGTCTTGTTTTTTTTAAATTATCTCGGTGGATTACCGTGGCTGCGGTGTAGGCGCGGTGACCCTTACCAGCCACCGTATCATCTGGAAGTTGCCGGCGGCACATGCGCACTTTGTTGTTTACGACCAAAACTTTCTTTAAGCTAAAGCTGAAATAATGGCAGGAGGAGACGGCAGCGCTCAGGACATTTATTATCCCTCAAAGAAGACAAAGTCGGAAGTACGGGCATTTTTTTGGATATTTGAAGAATGCCGAGGGACAGTTGTCTGTGAAAGGCAGCAACGCTACGTGGCCATCATAATGTAGCCATCGTCTCACGACTCCGCCGTCTCCAGTTCGCCACTTTTCACAAAATCTTCTGGTTGCCACTGGTCCTGGTGGTTTTTCTTCCAGTTCGACGAGTTTTCTTTTGGAAGGCTGGCTGACTCCAGTTAAAAACCGCCACATTTCACCGCTAGTTTTAACACGAAGCTAACTGCTAACTTGATAAACTGATTGAATGGGATAGGCGGAAATGACGTTGGATGCGGCGTTCACGTTTCGCGTACGTTTGTGTACGTTGCATGCAGGCGGGAGGAGTATCAGAAATCCATGGAAGATGACTGATAAACATAACTAATTTGGTGCAAACATTTACTCGCCAGGTGGCAGGTAGAGCTCAAAAATTTACCCGCCAAATGGAGCAATTTGCTCGCATTTGGCGAGTGGCGAGTGTTAATTTCGGACCCTGGGCACAACTTTGTGCATGGGTGGCACCAGTGGTTATGCTTTTTTTGTTTTACTCCCAAGCCTTTTGTGGACAATGAAAAGCCTTTTTGAAGGTAAATTAGTGTGGTGACACCTGGGGTGGCCAATCAGATTCCAAGGGTGGCATGTGCTACCCCAGGCCACTCCCTGGACACGTCCCTGTTAAAAGGACAGAGTCCTTTTCTTCATTCTTCTGCTGAGCTGAAAAGGAAGCAGTTTAGAGCAAATGCATGAGACTTTGGGGCCATGTCTCATGCAGATTAGTTCTGTGTCAGAGGAGAGGGGGAAAATGCCTTTTGGTGGAAAACAGTCATTTCATACCGTTACAAGAGCGACGTGCTCTCTGGAGAGAACGCATTCTCCGTGGACGCTCTGATCTCAGAGGAAATCCTTCTGTTATGCTTTGATTTGGGATCCGTTGTGACGCAACAAACCTCACGAATGTGATTCCAGTTCATATTTTATTTTACAACTAGAGAACCCTCCAAATCCTCCTCTGCTCGCCATTCATACACGCCACGTTGCCAAGGTAACCAGAGTGAACTCCAAACGGAACATCTCCTTATCAACCCGTTACTCCACGATGGATCAGATTCATTATTTTATTTATTCCTGACGGGAACCTCTCCTCGGTCCCGACCGCGTTTATAACCTCTGCAACTTGTTTGGTTCTTTTGCGCCTCGGCAGCCAGTGTCTTTATCTTGCTGTCAATAAAGTTTTTCTTATTTTTCCCGGAAAAAGCAGGGAATTCCCTCATGCTGAGGGTGTAGTGTGACCAAAACAGGCTCAGTGGCCTAGTGGTAGAGTGTCCGCCCTGAGACTGGGAGATCAGGGTTCGATTCCTGGTCGGGTCATACCAAAGACTTTGAAAAAATGGGACCCAATGCCTCCCTGCTTGACACTCAGCATTAAGGGAGTTGGATTGGGGGTTAAACCACCAAATGGTTCCCGAGCGCGGCTGTGTCTGCAGCTCACCGCTCCCCCAGGGGATGGGTCAAATGCCGAGAACAAATTTGGCACACACACCTGTGTGTGTGACAACTAATGGAACTTTAACTTTTATTGAGGGCGTTTCTGTATGTAAGTGACTGGACGGACACGAGCACCTGGGTACGCACAGGTGGGATTTATCATCTGACGGTTGTGG